GGTCAAAGCGTCTAGGAGCTATTTTAAGTTATTTAAGTTCTTGGATGTGCATCTATATTTTAAAATCGTCTTTTGAGTATGTTCCACTATTCACAATTCTACAAAATTTTAACAGTCTATAGCCAAGACTGTTTGAATAATAAAAAGCAAGAAAAAAAAATTTCACTCCCAAGTGCCCACAAACCTGCATCTCTACCTTAAATCTTATTGTTTTTAGTAACAATTCGGTTTAATCGGCACGCGTTCAAATAACGCGTTGGCGAGTCTCACTAGGTTCTTTCCAACATGGCTATGTGCCCTCCACCAATCAGATCGCCGGATTCACGATTAATATTCTCTGAATAAATTGAGAGAAGTTAGTTAGAACATGGCTTTGTCAGCTGATCTTGATTGACAGTACCGCGTAAAACAAAAATAAAATTGAATAAATTGTTGCAAATTGTTGCCATGTTAGAAGCTGGTTATTTTATAACATATACGTAGTCGATTTCACCAATTTTTTTGGTAAATTTTCTACAAACCCAATTGTGGTTACTGCGTGAGTAACTCTTATTGTGCAGATGAATACTGGGCGGATGACAAGATCAGAAAAAAAGGACCCGGATGTAAACTAGTTGCATCTTCTCACTACTATCCTGCTACTCCCTCTACAGCTTGGCTACTCCCTCTACAGCTTGGCTACTCCACAGCTTGGCTACTCCCTCTACAGCTTGGCTACTCCCTCTACAGCTTGGCTACTCCCTCTACAGCTTGGCTACTCCCTCTACAGCTTGGCTACTCCCTTTACAGCTTGGCTACTCCCTCTACAGCTTGGCTACTCCCTTTACAGCTTGGCTACTCCCTCTACAGCTTGGCTACTCCCTTTACAGCTTGGCTACTCCACAGCTTGGCTACTCCCTCTACAGCTTGGCTACTCCCTCTACAGCTTGGCTACTCCCTCTACAGCTTGGCTACTCCCTCTACAGCTTGGCTACTCCCTCTACAGCTTGGCTACTTCCTCTACAGCTTGGCTACTCCCTCTACAGCTTGGCTACTCCCTCTACAGCTTGGCTACTCCCTCTACAGCTTGGCTACTTCCTCCACAGCTTGGCTACTCCCTCTACAGCTTGGCTACTCCCTCTACAGCTTGGCTACTCCCTCTACAGCTTGGCTACTCCCTCCACAGCTTGGCTACTCCCTCCACAGCTTGGCTACTCCCTTTACAGCTTGGCTACTCCACAGCTTGGCTACTCCCTCTACAGCTTGGCTACTCCCTCTACAGCTTGGCTACTCCCTCTACAGCTTGGCTACTTCCTCTACAGCTTGGCTACTTCCTCTACAGCTTGGCTACTCCCTCTACAGCTTGGCTACTTCCTCTACAGCTTGGCTACTCCCTCTACAGCTTGGCTACTCCCTCTACAGCTTGGCTACTCCCTCTACAGCTTGGCTACTCCCTTTACAGCTTGGCTACTCCCTCTACAGCTTGGCTACTCCACAGCTTGGCTACTCCCTCTACAGCTTGGCTACTCCACAGCTTGGCTACTCCCTCTACAGCTTGGCTACTCCACAGCTTGGCCACTCCCTCTACAGCTTGGCTACTCCCTCTACAGCTTGGCTACTCCCTCTACAGCTTGGCTACTCCATAGCTTGGCTACTCCCTCTACAGCTTGGCTACTCCACAGCTTGGCTACTCTCTCTACAGCTTGGCTACTCCCTCTACAGCTTGGCTACTCCCTCCACAGCTTGGCTACTCCCTCTACAGCTTGGCTACTCACTCTACAGCTTGGCTACTCCCTCCACAGCTTGGCTACTCCCTCCACAGCTTGGCTACTCCCTCTACAGCTTGGCTACTCCCTCTACAGCTTGGCTACTCCACAGCTTGGCTACTCCCTCTACAGCTTGGCTACTCCACAGCTTGGCTACTCCCTCTACAGCTTGGCTACTCCACAGCTTGGCTACTCCCTCTACAGCTTGGCTACTCCACAGCTCGGCTACTCCCTCTACAGCTTGGCCACTCCCTCTACGGCTTGGCTACTCCCTCTACAGCTTG